TTATATTGCACGCTATATGTATATATCACTTAAAGCTTATTTATTGCTTAATCTGTTGTGCAAGAATTCTTATTTGCTAAGTTATTTGCTAACTGATTTTTATAACGTTTCTTAATAATGTTTACATAACAACGAATAGAATAAATATAAATAAAAAATATATATACGCTATTTTAACGCTACCTTATGAATAAATAATAAACATTTTGATTAATTTAATATAGTCATCAAAATATCATCGTTATTGATAACTTTATTGATGGCCAGTATTTTGATAACTATACTAAATTAATTAAAATGTTTATTATTTATTTATAAGGTAGTGTTAAAGTAGTATCAGTTAAGTCTACAGTCAGTCTAAAGGTAGTGTTTATTAACTGTATCATAAGCATGATAGTTTCTTCTGTATTCACGCTATTTATAGAATAAAATAAATAAAATTCCTTTCAATTCAAAATTTTCTAAAAATAATTTTGTAATTTTCAAACGCAATTAATTGTGGTATATATAAGGTATTTCTTTGAACGTGAGACAATTCTGCGACTTATTGAGAACATATTACGCGTGTATACTGTAGCATGCGGTTCCCCTCCGTTCGTAAGCTAGGAAATATAAAATTATATCAAAACCATCCCACGTAACAGGTCCCTCTGATCTCCCCTACTGGAAATAATTAAGGTAGTCATGTTACACTGTAATGCTCGACGTCAATTGAAAGGATCAAATTTTCATTATCGTTCGAATCCTCATTTATACAGTCAAGGAGACAATTAATTGGATGCCTGTCTACCGAACAGAACCTGCAAGAATCGGACCTAGAATCTGACATTTACGTAATTTTCAGTAAATCTTCAGTAATTACGTAAAGGCAAGAGCGTCGAGTGTTTCGAATTGTAGGAACCGTAGTGATTTTCTTATTGATCGAAGCTTTCACAGGTGTTTATTTGCGAACGACACGTCGCGTCGTGTCGCCTCGGCAAGCGATGAGCACAATCCGGAAAATAACAACCACAGTTTAAAGCGTCGTTTCGAAGGTCTATTAACTACGTTGTAAAGCTCGCAGCGGAGCGCAGGAACGACAGCAGACAATGATTATAAAACGTGTTACGACAATGTTCAGTACGACTGAAGGGAAAAAGAAATTCTCGACAAATTACGTACAGCAACTAACGATGATATTCGAACACTTTATGCAACGTTACAACTTTTCAAAAATTAAATCAAATGACTTTAATTCTGCTTCAAATGTTATACTGACGAGTTTACTTGCTAGAGAATGAGTAAACAAATTTGTCATTTCAAGTAATTGCAATTTAAAAAAAAAACTGAACATTGTCCAGTAAACCAGTTCTTCCAATATTTAAATAAAAAATACAAGTCACATGTTCCGATATTTAAAAAGTTGTTCTGTTTTATAATTAGTGATCGTATATTCTTTTGCGAAGTAATGCAGGACAGCTAAAGGAAAAGAAAATTTGGTAATAAAATGGAGTTAGATATCGGATTTTTCTAATCAATTTTACTTTTCTGGAAATAACTATTAATACGGTTTTGGTCTAATTCTGCTTGAAAAGATTCGGAATGGAGCGTACGTAAAACTTCCAGCTGCTTTGTTAGCAACATAATCATTCAGACCGATGATCTGCAAAGAAAAGTGAGAGTTTACCGATTCCGCGGATAAAAATAAACCGAAAGCGAAAAATCGATAACGCTGACATAAGAACAGACATCTTTTCAATGGCAAAGACATATTTTTCCTCTAAAATGTCACAAACTGGCATCAAAAACATTAGAAAACTTTATTCGCGACTGAATGTGCCATAAGTTTTAAGATTGAAGTTTCCCCGTTACGACGATCCCCTAAAACTTGATATATGAATCTTTTCGCTGGTTTATGAAACAAAAATGAGGAGCCAGTTTCACCGTGTAAACCTTCACAGTGTACCTTACATTACCGTGAAGTTGGCGGTACATGTTTCATTGAAAGCTTAATGAAACGACCACAAAGTATCGTATATCAAAGTACAGCGCGTTGTTGTGTAAAGCGGAAGCTACAATATTTAAATCTACGTAGTTTCAGTCGAACAATAAATTTTCCAGTGATGCCAGAGACTTTTCAACTTGTAGCATTTCCGAGAAAAATCTTTGCTTTATTTCTCCATGTGCAACAGAAATATTCAAGGAAACAGAGTTCAGGCTTTAAGATTAAAAATATGATCAAGTTTATCGTTGTGAGAGATCCTTTTGTACAAAATTCTAACAATTTAAATATGTTGAATTCGCTGTATTATAATTTGCTAAATATGTTGTATTGCTTAAAAATAAAGAAACTCAGATATACTCGTTCTAATTCCAGCACAAATGGCGGTATCAATTTTAAAGAAGGAAATTAAACATATAAATTTTAATTTTAATGTAAATAACAGTACCTATTAGTTTTGAGGAAGAAAATTAAACACCATAAT